AAAATACTTGTGTTTTGTTCAGAGGGGTATCGTTTGGATTTGTAAGTCATACATCTTTTTATAAGACAGAAAACGTATTTGAGTATTGTACAGACAATAAATAAGTGTTGACAGATAAGTAAACATTTAAAAAGCGGCTAGGAATTAGGAAAACATAGAATTGTTGTAATGCTGTCTTACGAACGCTGGGTTGACTACTTATTCATCGGGCTGACAACTGATATTGGTTTACAAGTTTTTATATTGCATAATCGTAGGATGCCTAAATACGCCTAAATGTCACCAAAACAGTTAAGTATATGGAAGGAAGTGTATTTTTCAGACTGTAAAATGAAACAAAAATTTAGAGACGATGTTTGGTAATTGGTTCTTTGAATGAATTGAAGTAAGTTTGATTCCTTTTTATTACTTTTGAAGTTAAGTTATTTATCAATTTCAGCCTTTTTCTCTAAAAAGCCCTGACAATGTCAACAAAAATAAAATGAAGGTAACACATGGGAAAATTTTAAAAAGTAGTCTTGTCATTGAAAAGTTTGACATTCTATTTTGATAATTTTCACTGTGAAAATATGAAAAACTGTGTAATTGTCACGGTTAAATCAGTATTCCCCTTAAAAGCATAAAAATGGCTTTATTCTACACCTGTGCTGTAGTTAATGTGATAAATATATTACATTAAAAAGAAACTCTCATAGAATTGTTAAGAAACAAAAACTTTACAAAAAATGTATATATATCCAAAATGTAAAGTTTAAAACAATACGGATAAAAATAGCGGGAAAAAAGAATGAAGCGATGCCTTTTCCAGTTTACATTGCAATTGTTTATTAACAAAACTGTAATAAATAATTGAAAAGAAATATCAACCGGTTTCACCCGTTAAAGGGATCTTCAAGTTAATGACGTTAATAATGTCGATGGTAACGACGTCAAAACAATGAGTGTCACATAGCAAAATTGAATAATAATATATCAATTTTAGCGTTTTATACTATAGTTAAAGTCCTGCTAGAAGATCCTACCATCTATGGTTATTGAATTAACATAATTATATAAATGCTAAATGTTGCTTAAACTGTTTCGAACTGATTCATAGGAAAATCGTTCAACGTCTTTTCCGAAACTTTTGCTACGATTTGATGTTCATTTTTACCGGTTCTTTTAAATATATACCTCACACGTTTTCCAAAATTAAAAGTTTATCAAAGGATTGTCACATGCTTTTGAAAAATATCTTTAATAGGGGACAATATTTAGTATTATTTCAAAAAGTTTCATGATCAGAGTTGCAACAATTCTCAAAACATTGTAAAATAAAGATCTATTAATGTATCTGTATATCAATATATCTTTATTCAAAAGTCATATACTTACTTCATTAATTCTAAGATATTTACTGGCAACTGAATATAAATAAATGCATTGTCAACAGTCCTATATCAGCTATAAATTCACAGATTTTTTTCATAAGACCTAATATAAATAGTTCATCGTGTTGTGATGATAGAGATATAAACTGTTTTAAAAACATCTATTGATTGTAAGTGATCACTTTATAGTGTAATGAATTATTTTTGCCCTTCTTAAATATTGGACCCAGTATTATTTCAGTCCATTTCTCCGTAATTACTATTTACAAATAATGTATTCAAAAATGCGCAGATACATATCTGAGAGATACCACCGGAAGCTAACCGATCTTCAATATTTTGTAGCCATAACTGCTTTCTGATTTGTTATGAATAAAATATTTATTGCTCTATATCATCGAATGTTTCAAGACCTTCATTCAATTCATCAACAAAATTATATAATTTAACTGATTGAACATAAGAGAACAAATAACTAGACTAAGTGTTGACACACACCACTCATTGGTTGATGGCTAGCCCTACGAAAGGCTCTCGGCGTATATTGTTATGCGCCTGGTCGTCTGTCCGTCTGTTAGTAGTTTTCGTGTCTGGTCTGTATCTTTTGACCCTGTGGAAGGAAATTTAACTCATTTGCAGAATTAAATATATAAATATTGGGTGCAAACCACATGTTTTACACACTTTTTTAAGTCAAGGTTAATGTCACACTAAGTAATGTTTATCATTTTCAAAATTTCGTGTTCGTTCTGTACATTTTCAACCGACAGAAAGAAATTAAAGTTTTTTTTTGCAGAAACATTATTTATAATGAGTCGGTCTGAAGAACACAGGTTCAGGCTCCATGTGATCTAAATTGGCCCCGCCTCGGTCATTTCTAAATTTATATAGAATTATTTAGGAGTTTTTTCGTATCTGGTCTGTTATCTTTTGGACCACTGAAAGGAAATTGAACCTACTATGTACGAATGTTTTCCAATTTAAAAATGAGACGATTTCAGAGCACAGGTCTGACATTTCTTAGGTCAGGGTCACAACTTAGTCACTTTGTATTAATTTCAAAAATGTGTCCGCTCTGAATCTTTTAAACATATTGTAGGAAATTAACTTATTTGGCTGAAATAATTATATTACTGAGATGATGTGCAGAACGCATGTTTGAGCTTCTTCTGGTCAAGGTCACACTGACTCATACAAAGTCCTTATGTAAGTGTATATATTACGAAGGGGGATTACAATGTATGAATTAATTCATATGTTTCCTCCCAAAACATTTGTATGTTACCTCTCTTTATATCCCAAAAATCTATTACTTTATTTTCACCATTTTTATATATTTTGTGGACTTTTTTGTTAAGATCTTATTTATTCAGGTGATCTTAGGTTGATATGATTTAATTATTTGAAAAAAAAAACAATAATTTAAAAAAAAAACAATAATTTATTAAAAATGCTGTTTCTTAAAGTATGCACTAAATAACAATAAATAATTTGTAAATGAAAAAATGTCATTTTTTTAGCAATTCATCCAGACTTTGGACACGTATGAAGATGTGTTGAGAACTGGCAGCTGTTAATTTACAACGCTTCTTTTCTTACGCCTTCTTGTGGTTCTTCTCTCTCTCTCTCTCTCTCTCTCTCCCTCCCTCTCTCTCTCTCTCTCTCTCCCTCTCTCTCTCTCTCCCTCTCTCTCTCTAATAGAAAGATTGATATAGGTTGGAGTGACGATATTTAAGTTTCTGAATCTTTTTTATTATACAATACAACAAGGATTATGTTCCAAGGAAGAATACTACCATGATACGTGTCTTTCACTGCATTTTTATAGATTTAAATAAAAGAAAGTCATAAGAACACATTTTCATATCCCTTAAAGCATTATTTTAGGCTGAAGCATTTTTGTCTGTCAGCCATTTTCTGTATACATGACGTTAAAGTTGACCACCAAAGCCCGCTTTGGAACATGACGTCGTTGCGTATCCTTGGCAACTGTTACGGGTGTCACAACGCAATCGGCAGACAAATTATCTTAGATTCTACGTACTCGACGGACATTATAAAATCCTTAATACTGATATAAAATTTATCGTTTTACGCCGAAAAAATGTTTAAAAAATGGAAAGAAAACTAGCAATTTTGTGTGAAATTTGATGTTTAGCTACAGTATCGCCTTTAAAGCTGCTAATCATTTTGTTTTTTTTAATCGTCTTTTAACATGCATACTCTAAAGTCTAAATAATTAAAATAGATTTTGGGTCACCAACAATTTTTCGGTACACGTGATTCATTTCCCCTAATCCTTGAGATAAAAGTCACGCGAACACTTTTCTGGTGCTCATTTTTCCATTTGTCAGTAAAAGGATCGGGTTATGAACGGCATCTAATGCTATTATGATCACCGCATAGAATATATGGATATAGGCAAGTGTACGTAAGTTCTTATATTATAAATTGACGGGTAAATTGACGTGAAAATTAAAAAAAGAGGTATGGGACCGTATATCATGAAAGTCGTATATGACTAATATACCGTGATCCGTACACTTGTAATATACGGGAACACTGTTTGTACGGAGGTCCGTATTTTACTAAATTACGGAATTTTTATTACAATTCCATATATTACGAAATATCATATTCTTGTATATACGGATGATGTATATAAATATTCAAGACGTACATCAGAATTACCCACTTTTGTATGAGAGGAAAAAATAGCTTAGACTGTACGAATAAAAAGAACGGAATCTAATCTGACATATGGTCAAACTTTTACATGCCAAATTTCAAGACGCTACTCAAAAGTTCTCAAAGTGTCGCGGTCTACCTTAAAAACCATCATTATTGTTGACTTGTTTCCAATGACTTAATAATGTATGTGCTTCAAATGTAAACCCTTAAAAGCCGTCTGGTTAGCTCAATCGGTGGAGTGTTTGACTGTGGATCGTGTGACCCGGTGCGATTCTCGGACGGTACAGGTAACTTTCTTCGTGACTGATAAAATCCTTTATTTGGTCATTCGCACTGTACTTCTGCTATATATATATATATACATATATATATATATATATATATATATATATATATATATATATATATATATATATATATATATATATATATATATATATATATATACATACACACATATATGCATCTACAATTCAGCTTAATTTAAGAATTCATCATATCTCTCAATACATGATATTTATGAATAATCTTAGAACATATAGAATCATCAGCAGTACATGTGCGAGCATTAAACTCACAATTCAACGGTTGTTCAAAATTCAGGTAAAATACCCCACATCTTAATCTTTTTTCTAATTGTTTCAAACCAGAAAAAGTGGCCTCATAAACATGACTATTATGAGAACTTATGAAGCTCCATAAAGCACATCGTTTCCTATGAAAACAAATGTTTAATCAATAGAGATACTAATTACATGTTGACAGTCTTCTTTTACGCGTTTTACTACACTAGCAATGCTTGATTGGACAAACACTGTTACCCCGCCCATAGGTTTTCCACCAAAATATCACAGACAGTTTAATTTTGTTTTACTGGATTGGTACTTGTATTTATCTTTTCCACATTGTCTTTAAGTTTAAATGTAACATTATTTTCAGAATATAAGATATAATGTTGACCAAGCAGCTAGGTTCTTAGAAGGTTTAGACTTATATTGGCTGAGAAACAACCCGTTCGATTTAGCTATAACCACATACGCTCTTGCTCTGGCTAAAAGTAAAAAAAGATTTCGTTTCAAGGATGAGTTAGTCTCAATTATGAAGTCAGATGGAAGTAAGTGGATTAATATATTTATAAATTAGATTTTATGCCCAGCCATAAAATGGCCGTGGCATAAAGTGTTACCCTGTTCCGTCCCTCTGTCCTTCCATCCTACTGTCATTCCGTCATTATTAGTTTCCTTTTATTTTCTTAGTTTGTTTGTTTGTTTGTGTCATTTTGCGCCTTTTTCCAACAGTATTTTGGCCATATAGGCGGGTAGTTTCCTAACCATCGTTCCTGGAGAGTTACACCAGTACTTGACTATCTTCCTCCGTGCTAAACTACCAAAGCATCTCCCGGGGAGCGAACCCACGCCAGAGAGGTAACTGGATTAGAAGTCATCGACTCTAACCCCTCAACCACGGAGCCGTTGATATTAATAAAGGTTAACTCATATTTGACATATGGATATATCATGAGAAAATACAGGTTCGAATTTGGTAATTGTCCGATGATTTTGAGTTATGCCCCTTGATGAAATTTACAGTTTCCGTTCGTTATCTTCCCAACGGTATTACACATTAAACTCAAATTTGACATATGGATTCGTCAAAGGAGTGCGCAGGTCAAGTTTAAATTTGGTCATTGTTCGATGATTTTTGACAAAGAAATGCCTCTTTCACTTTGGAAAAAGGGAAATTTTCAGTTTCCGTTCATTATCACCCCACCAGTTTTACACATTCAACTCAAATTTAATAAGAATACACTGGTCAAGTTCGAGGTCATAGTTTGATGATAGATGCAAGAGTTATGCCTCTTGCACTTTGAAAAAAATCAGAATATTTAGTTTCCGTTCATAATCTCCCCAAATGGTTGTACACATTCAACTCAAATTTACATAAACATGTATATACATCTTAGAAATAAGAAGTTTAAGTTTGAATTTGGTCTTGGTTCAATGATTTTGGACAAAGTTATCTCTCTTGAATGTTCGAAAAAATTGGAATTTTCAGTTTCAGCACTCATACTTTTGTGGAAAAGTATGTTGTCAATTTTTGGCTACAAATAGTCAATATGCAATTTACAAAAGGCTTACACTGAATAGTTTCAGTGCCTTGAACTTTGTTAAAAATGATTTGTGTTAACATTGAATGGTTGGCTTTGAACTTAAAACGAAAAAAACAGTGCAAACAAATTTGGAACTAAATATCATAACATCTGAAAATTTGGTACTCTCCTGCGCATCGGTCGAATGTTCCACTATCGCTGACTTTCTTACCTCTGCTAAAATTGTAGGTTCAGACCGATATTTCTATTTTTAGACAGGAAAATCCGTGTCTACACTTCAGCCAATCAGTGACTAGCTTACTTGTAACGAATTGTCACATACCTGAATTTGACGCACCGTAATGTAAACAATGCGTGTTCATTTATACTTTACTTAAAATTGTTCGTTTTGAACGTTTCTATTAAATGACCTAATAAAACTACCATACTGGTAAATTCGCGATGATATATTATTTACGGATAGTCAATTGTAATTGAGTTTACGTAAAAGGTAGCACAATACGAAAAATGGTCCGCATATTCTGGCTGCAAGAAAGTCCACTTTAGGCCGTTAAAATTATCTTTCTTATATTTTCTCAGATGAGCAGTAGCATTTCGACAATAACTCAACCCATCCGTCGAAAAACCGAGGAATGTCTATATACATTGTTTAATACATGTATGAATAGCTAAAGTGGAAGAAGTTATCACATGTTATTTATATTGCAACATTACACCATGCAGGTGTACACTATGCACAAAAAGTAATAATAGGGAAAAAGGGACCGAAACATGACGGCTATCTGAAATTTTTACGGGGGGCTATCCCCCCAGTATTTAAACAGAATTTT